CTTGGAAGTAACTGCAAACGTACCCCACGTTTAGGGGGAACAAGTACCGACAGACGGAAAGGAAGGATACCTCGTCACGATGCGAAAGAAAGGAGATCTGAACAAATGTGAGAACTACAGAGACATCAAACTATTATCAGTGCCAGGAAACGTTTTCAACAGAGTGTTGATGAACAAGATGAAAGACTCAGTAGACGCCCAACTTTAAGATTAACAGGCTAGATTCCGTAGGGATCGGTTGTGCACAGACCGAATCACGACACTACGGGTCAGAGTTAAACAATCAATTGAATGGAATTCCTCAGTATAACTCAACTACCCTGAATGCGGTAAAGCATTTGACAGTGTGAACAGAAGAACCTTACGGAACCCTCTTCAACACTGTGATATACCTGAGAAAATCGTCAACATCATGCGAAATTCATACGATGGATTACACTTCAAAGTCATACATGAAGTCCAACTCACAGATGCATTTCAAGAGAAAACCAGTGCCATATTACGCTGCTTACTCTATTCCTTTCTCCTTCTTCTGGTGGTTGACTAGATTGTGAAAACTTCCATGTCTGAGGGAAGCACAATTTGTAGTGAACGAATTTGATGCAACTAGACGATTTGAACTTCTCAGATGATCTAGCTCTTCTACCCCATACACACGAGCAAATGAAGGTCAAGACAACCAGTGTAGCAGCATCCTCTGTGGCAGTAGGCCTCCACATACACAAGGGAACAAGCAACATCCTCAAATACAGCATGGAGAACACCAACACAATCACACTTGATGGAGAAGCTCTGGAAGAGGTGGAAACTTTCACATATCTGGTCAGCATCATCGATGAACAAGGAGGATCTGATGCATATTTGAAGGCTAAGATTGGCAAAGCAACAGAAGCATTCCCATAAATGAGAAACATATGGGACTCAGAAAAACAATCAACCAATATCAAAGTCACAATCTTCACTACGAACATCAAGACAGATCCACTGTACGGAGCTGAAACTTGGAAAACTACCACAACCATCATCAAAAATGTACAAGTATTTATAAAAATTGTCTACGTGAAGCTTTTCTTCTCCGTTGGCCGGACATTATCGGTAAGAACTTACTATGCTTAGAACCGCACATATTTTTCACATTGAAAAGCAGATGAGCCACAAATTCACGAACATTTTTCCTTTCTCATGAGTTTAATATTGTATGATGTGGTTGTTTTTCAAAAGAAATAAACTGATTATTTAAAGGCATGTAGTTAGTGTAGAATTTCAAGAACAACATTTACTAACTGTCATTGACTGACTTAATATTAAATTTTGATTTATTGTTTGCTTGTTAAACGAATTTCACTCGCGTTTTTTCCCTGATATTGTTGTCTACTGAATAATCAGTCTGATGTGATCAATAAAGTATAAAACGATGCGTCTAAGCATATTGTGTCTAATGTTATGCGTTTAGCTACTGGTCAACATAGTTTTCATCCTAAAATCACTTTGTTGATATATTAATAAATATGTATCGAAAGCTGTGAAGAAAGTGATTTATCAATACATAATAGATTTAATTATCGTTCCACATTCCTTGATACATTACCATCCACATGACTCAATCATAAGAAAGAGTCATGCAAGTCTTAGTGGTGGTATCTATAGTGCTCAGTTATACTATCTGAAATCTTGGAGAATTATGAACTTTGTTCACTATAGCAGCATGTTTAATTGATAGCTTTCATCAGTCGGGAAATTCGGGTGAAACGCATCCTTTCAAATGACTCAAAATATCATACATCATAAACAAATAACTATTTTGGATAGGTAAAGATGTTTGTATCGTAAAGTTTCATCTATAATGAACCATCTACTGCAGTCAATTACTCTCTATTTAAGAATTTATCTCTACATCGGTGTTACTGTTCCTAACTGTTGCGATGAACTATAGAATCCTCAGTAACTGAGGTGATGAACATTTTCAAGATTAAGAGTAGTCATTTTAGTTCATGAGTTTTCTAGCGATTGCAATACACCATTGAAAAAGAATTTCTAACGAATCACAAAACGAATTTATTCAACATAGATCTGTGCTAGGTAGACGTGTGTAATCTCATAATCATTGTGAAGTTGTAAAATAGAGTACCCTTGGGTTCCTCAATACTTACAGCCCACATTTCATTAGACCTAGAGCTTTAAGTGGCTAAGACTAGCACGATAACATTCATTCATTTAACTGTGATATTAAATTTGTTATCAACTATATTAGACATAAAAATACTCTGTGATTACCTCTTTTTACCACTAAAGTGGTAGTTTGATGGTTGAAGCACCTAAAGTTTAATCACTAAGTCCTACATCTAGACATTGCTCCACCTACGTTGGTGTGGTTAGCCAGGTAGTATCAACAGTACTTACACAACTAAAGTATGGTTCAAAGCCGAGTACAAGAACCTTTACTCTGTAAGTGCATTAAACTAATTAATTCATCTTATTCTATGACTCATTACTATTATAATAATGGCCAAAAATAACTTTAGCTAATCGTGAATACTCACCAATTAATTAATGATCATTCTATCGGATGACTTAAAAGTAGGCTTATATACTGTATCAACACATAATAAAAAATGTCTGTGATGAGTCGATGGGGTTCATTAGAATAACGTGATATATACGCAGAATATCATTAGAAAAATCTTGTTAATTCTTTTTTTTTCAATAGACTAGACACTACTAACTATCGTTTTATCTATTTAGATAATCAATATATGTTGTTTAGAGATAATTTACAAGATTTTTTATAAACTGAAAAATAGTATATAGTAATAAAGTATTAAAATTTTTTCACTATTTCAACGCTCATATGCTACTGAAGCGTCAACAGTATCCTTGATAATGATGTAGAGATATAAAATGTGACTCCTCAAATTATAAGGTATTATAAAGCCATAATTAACTTAGTATCGACTGCTTAGAACTGATATTGTTTGATGATTTTATTAAGAAGCTATTATAAGTAAGCTTATGAACGCATATGGACTAGGAACAATACAATAATAAGGGCAATTTATTTATGAAACACAATTTTACCTTATCTTCATGATACTAACCGGCTATTCAAAGTGAATTTAGTGGAGGGGAGTAAGAATTTTCAACCTAGCGACTGAAAGCCAACTACTTTTATGCAGTAAATAAAAAATCCATTATGTGTACTTAATAACTTCCTTATTGTGCGCTGTATGTCTCATCAAAGCGGACAGTAGCAAAATATCAGAGTGCTTAACCAAAGGTGTCAGTGTCTTAAAAAACTTTCATTTTCTTAAGATTACTGTTGTATTTTGCAAATAACTGGTAACTAGCATAAAACCAAGGCCCATTATATCTTTCGTATTACGTTGAACAACTTAACATACCAATCAATGGTGAAAGAATATAAATGAAATCTCATCCCCGTTTTACTTCATTTCTAACATGAATCTCATTAGTAAATCACTAATCGTTTTTACTCTTGTAACGAAATTATATTCTCGTATAAACTACCTTATATTCCATTATATACAAATTAATAAGGAATAAAAAGTGAATTTTGTGGTTATTTGAATCCGTAACAAAAAACACCTATTTTAACTATGTAAGTTTATTTACTATATACTGATGTAATGAATATTTCTTCTACTTGTTTTTCCAGTCAAGATTTCAAACAAGTAATATACCTATAAAATAATTCAACTTATGTATTTCACATAGTTTCCAAATATTGATCTCCTTTAAAAAATATGCGATAGTTTATACTAAGTAAATACACATTGTGCTTTCTTCTAAAGAAAACATTTCGATTTTAATTTTATGTTTGCATAATATACTACGAGTACTGTTTACATGCAAGATACTTGAATTGTTTATTAGTCTATAGAACCGTATCAAATAAGTTCACTGCTTACCATCTATCCATTTTGAGACAACTATTCATTATTACTTATAGTTCATAAATTTCAACAGCTATGATACCAGACATTAATTGTTTAGGTAAATCTAATAATGCTAGATTCTACCTATTGTTGAATTTATTTCCAAACGAAAATGATTATCAATTTAGTCTGACGAACCAAAGATAAACGGTTAAGAAAGTAACTAAGTAGAATAAATTATTTATGAGTAATTGTATGAATATTTTAATTTAGCAATTTTAGTGCCAAATTTTCATGTGTGGCCAGTTTTTAATTCCTTTCTTAAGAGTATTCTATTTCTCTATCACTTTGCTTATATCTTAGAATGTTACTTTGCTAATCTTTCATCAATGGTAATTTAAGTATGTTTTCTACACCAGAATTGTACACTATATGATCTTTATACTCGTTGGTGAAATAAATCTTCTGTAAAAAGCATGGAATTCTGTCTCCGGTTAACTGACAAGGAAGAAAACAATAGTAAGCAATCTTGTTCTTTGTCATTGGTTGTCCGAGTTAAGGATTAATACACAAGTTGAAATCATGAGCCAATTGAAGCTAGACCACCATGGGAAACCTCGAAGCACTAGACGGCCGTTTCGTCCTAGTATGGGACTCCTCAGCAGTGAGCATCCACGAACCCGCTTCCCGCGGGATTCGAACCCAGGACCTACTGGCTTCGCGCGCGAGCACTTAACTATTAGGCCACTGAGCCGGCATCCAACAGTGTTAATGTCTAACTTCAATCAATCCAGGTTTTCCATGGTGGTCTAGCTTCAATTGGCTCATGATTTCAACTTGTGAAATTTCTAAAAATCTCCACAAAACCCATTCTGATAATTAAGAATTATTAATTTGATGCAAACATATACCAAGTTGATACAGTGCTGCATGAAGAGAAACCTTATTTCAATATATTTGATTTTATTTCAAATACACCCAAACACACAATACTAAAATTCATAAGTACTTTTCTCTCGCACTCTCAAGTAAATAAAGTCATTGAGGTACTTATATATAGTTGTCTATTAAATCTAACTGTTTATTTTCGTTTATTTTCTCTCTTAGGTACATGAATATGAAATAATAGTTGTACGTGTATTAAACTGTATATATTGAAACAAATAAACTTGTGATAAATTTAATCGCCTATGAACAATCAATTCTATGTGTATTATCACCTGTTCAATTTTAATAATGATACCATTTTATAAGTTTTAATTCATTATTCCAATTTGAATGAAAATAATGATAAGGATAATATTGACAACAAGAAAAATACAAAAAATTAATGATATCTATTCCTGAAATTCTGAATATTTTAAAGTCCTGAATTGTTTAATTCACATATGAACTAAAATGTAACTATGAGTTGTGCAAAAATTGGTATACAAGAATACATTCTAACAAAATCTTATACACCAATGAGTAAAATTTCAACAGATGTTGATAGTTCATGTACAAAAATTATTCCTGATATATCAGAAAACAGAAAAAGGGAAAAGGTGATAGATATGAAATTTCTACCAGAATCCAATGAAAAAGATGTTGAATCAGATTATATCAATAAAAATAGTCCCAATTTGTTTCAGTGCAAGTGTACTCAATCACCATGTAGATGTTATTTAAATAAAGTGGGAACTTCAATGGACAATGTATCTCCAAAAGATTTAGATTCAAGTCTTGATGACTCGAGAAATAGTGAGTACTTTTTTATATTGTATGACAATAAAATATCTATTCTGATGACAGTTTTTTTATAATTTAAAGAATTATTATTATTATTAAACATATATATATATATATATATATATATATATATATATATATATATATATATATATATAATGATGCTCCGTTCCAGCCAAATAAGTTGGTGAAGCCTAGTAGGCCCTTCTGGAGAGAAACAGGCCACATCGAGGCACAGCACAACTACCGGTGCTAGAATTGCTGTCTTAGCAACCGGTTGGAGTTTGCTCCATGCATTACATGCACCACTTTTGTTAAGTTTTTTGTCTTTTTTTCCATCTAGGAGTAATTGTGCTGTGATTCTTTGTGGATTTCGTAATCGGTTTGAGGGTATCGGTCGAGTGAGTGATTAGCCCGATCTCTACCACACGGGTCACCGCTCGCGTTAGTTCATGTGTCATCCGTCCCATTATCCAGGAGGCACGACGCGGACGTGTGAGTCGGGTTTTGCTTCGCATAAAGTAATGATGATTACTAGTTAAATTTCCCATGACGAAAGAAACGACTCAGAATATTAACTTAGATCAATGACACATTGCAATTTGACCTACGGAATTCAAAGAACATTAAGAACTGAACAACGTGATTGTTAAGTGACTAATTAATACATGTAACTCAGTCCTGTAAAAGGTCTTTTTACAGAATGTGATGGCGCTCTAGTGCAAGCATCTGTTTGCCTGCATCTTGTTTGACTCAGAAAAGTTACAGCAAGAATACTTCTTAGTATTCAGCTAGTGATGAAAACGTCAGCACATATTTCGGGAACAACTAGAGAAGCAGTTAGTCAACTGTGAGAGTGATATCCACACCAAGGTAGCTCAACAAGTTATCCAAACAGCCATGATAAGAGTAGTGTTATCTACCAGTAGCTTAAACCAAAAGAGATAAAACAGACGGAATGTAACTAACAGTGGAATCCAGGAGGCGCATTTCGTCCTATTTAAAACTTATCAACTGAATATACAAATGAGATAGTCCAAACCGTTTAAATCGAATTAAGCCGAAGGGTTAGGAAACATCAATGAATTTCTGTAGCGTGTACTGTGCTGATAGATGACTGAACCTTATCCCATAAGGCTCCAGAAGAACGGAGGTGTGAATATAGCCTAAAGGCAGACTGATAAAAAATCAAGGCAATGAATGTGAGCAGTGGAGGGCCTGGAAGCAAAAGATATGGAGAAAGCAGTGGTAATAGGTGACAGTTGATAATTATTCAGATTCAATATGCAAATAGGCTGTTAGCGATACTAGCTCGGAGAAGATAGAACAATCATTCACCGTCAACTTGGTAAATGAGAACGATAGGGAGAATATTTTAAGCCACAGCTAAACTGGCTTCCAGATACCCTCTTGCCACCCCCTGTCCCGAATCAATCTTAATGACAAATTGACACGAATCCTCCAGAACTTAATAAGGTCGGAAAGGCCATAGTCATTCTAAAGCGAGGGGAAGTAGTCGGTCCAAATGGATTGGCCGTGAGGAAAATTAAGGACTGTCGTTTGGTTTTAGCACTAGACTGACTCAGATCTCGTCTAGAAACTGGGGTCTGAACGTAATCCCATCTGACTGGTCTTGATTGCTGATCGACTCCGTTTAAAAGAAATGATGAAGGTCATCTAGCAATAATCATTGAGGAATCAGTCTGACTAGTATAGTGTCTAAAATGCTAGCTTCAGTAATAGTCCGAAACTTAGCTTGGGTTGGAGAAGAGAAAACCCCTGGGAACCCAGGTTGTTCTCAGACCAGAACGCGGATATATAGACTAAATATGCTTTCCTCAAGTTTTAGAATACAGTCATGCTCAGCGAAACCCGACTATAGTGGTATTTCTCAGCCTTATATCTTATGGTGAATTGCCATAGGAAATCACAATTTCAAATGGTGTCTGTCATGGTCTCTATTTCGATTCTTCTTTAGATAGTCCGTCAGAAGTACTACTCACATCGTGAGACGTTTCAGAAATTTATTTCACTTATATCAGAAGTCCCGTCAGTCCTGGTTGATGTCCGACCAAATCTAAGTAGGGATTTATGAAGTTTTCTTGTCTTTGCGAACTTGCGTCTCTTATGAATTAGGCAATATGTCCGTCTATCAACTAAAGAACAAATGTATAACACAGTTCGTTTTGTTCTGCTTTATGGCTGTGAAACATATCCATTACTATATTCATAGGTTACATAATGCTATTTGATCATAGATGCTTTCAATGTGTTACTCGTGTATGTTAGGACCATATTGGGGTCCGGTAGGCTACTGGGAAAAGATGATAGGCAGACTGATGAGATAGCGAATATTCATCAACTGAGGTGCATGGGATAAGCACTACATAGTACAAACTACCGATTACCTAGATGTGCGATATTGCCTAGTGCAAGAGTTAGCTGGAAGAAGACCGATAGGAACCAAACCAAGAGATGATATCAGTCCATGAAGCAACCGATCCTTGAGCTGATAAATAGGAATTTGTGTAGACCGTCTGGTTGTGATCCACGTAACAAGAGCAATCACTGCAGTGATCTTCAGTGCTGTTAGAGCTATGAGGGCATTTAACACTTCACGGTCGCCCACACCGTCAAAAGATTCTTCTGGAGGTACTTTCAAAGGAAATTGGATTAGAGGTGGTCTTAGTGATCTGAGAGGGTGACCGCAGTGCCCAAGGGACATCTCCTTGGGGTCGGTCACACACGACCTCTTTGTGAGTAATTTTCATGTTAGTTCCGCACTTATTGGAACCTTACCGCCGGAGACAGATATCCGTGGGATAAGGCGAGGTGTGCATTTCCAGGGTCGACCTTTTCTAACCTCACCCCTCCTTGTGGGAGGGCAGCATCGCTGTCATATTGGTTGTCTGAAGGAGACGCTTTGCTGCTGTGACACCTCTGTACGGTCAGCAGTACGACTTCGCCTTCGGACCTTGGGTTTGTTGCTTTTAGTCTTACCGCTCTTCAACCGACCTGTCTGACATGGTAGGACCTTGATGAACGGTTGTTGCAGCCAGTATAGCTCGACTGGTTCGTCACGATAGGCGAGTTCGACCACGACGTCAAGGTGGCAGCAACGATCAGGAATCACTGCAATACCGAACCATTTTAAACTAAAGGCTATGTTGTTTTTCAATAGATATAATCCAAACAGCTCCAAATACTGCTTATGGTGATTTCGGCTACCAGTAAATGAATGATTTATGTTCATTTTCGTCAGTAAGGTGTCGACTTCTGTTGAAGTCATGGGTCGATCAATGTTAGACCAACATTGAAAACCTGGAAGCGCTTGACGGCAGTTTCGTCTGAGTATCGAACTTCTCAGCAGTGCGCATCCACGACTCTGCACAGCACATAAATTGTGAGGCCATTGAATTATTCATTTGCAGCAAGTCAACCAATTTTCTTAATTTGATTCCAATAATGACTATATAATGAAGCCAGTATGGAGACGGCCAATTAGGTTAGATATTCAAGATATTATTCAACCAACATCGTAGTGAAAGTTTGTCTTGGTGAAAAGAAGTGCATTTTGGACGGTATGTTGCAAAGATCAGAGTGAGTAAAGTAATTTTCCGAAAAAAGATCACCTGGTACAATATGCTAATTTTGAGTGGTGTATGGTTAAAGCCCTACATGCAAGTCGAAAGTAAGGAATTGAATACTACTTTCAAGGATTATTGTGCATTTTTAACTGATGTGGCTACGTCTACAACCATACGAAGTTAGATAGCACTGCAAACCTCATTTGTTGCAGTGTAGAACTCCAGAACAGTATACATCCACGACCTCGGGATTGATGGGGTTCAAAACCTCCGAGTCTTTCGAAAACAGCCAGTCCATATCTAGTGGCTTACGTTCTCGATTCCAGCTAATGAGATACTGAACGACTCTCATCCATCGGCACCTATTATAAGTGGTTCACTGCCAACATGGTTGAGCTTTACCATTAACACATTCGCAACAAGACCCAAAGAACTCTTTTCGAACCAACTTGGTAGTGAACACATGGTTGCTTTGGAGGAACTGTGAAAAATCTATATGGGGTATCCTCTGATATGTATATTATATCTACATATATCAGGTGTTACGTATCTACGTTTCAACAACCATTCTATATAACACTAACTAATTTACAAAGAAATCACACTCCTCACATAATAACTACAAGAGAGACATGACTGACCAGTGTTAACAGAGAAGACGTAATTGGTAGACTGTGTTTTGCTCATTCCTAAAGTAGTTTATGTCATAAAAGCTACTATTTTACAGTGAAATTCACCAAAGGTGAATTCTATTCATGTTCTTGTACACTTATTTAAATACGTATACGGTAGGATAATCGTCTACCTATTGTCTCCTCAGAGCGCGACCTCGGGCTAGTAACCACAAAGAACTTGGACACCAGCTCAAAATAAATAAGAGATACACCCAAAGCAAACACAACTCTCCACTTGATACGAAGACGACTTGGTGCAATCATCCCAGAGTTGTTCCTAGTACTGTTTAAAATATACACATGACCCCACCTTGAGGTCTACAATGTCGTTGCGTCTCCTCTCTTCACAAGATCCAAATCTCTCACATCAAGTACAGAGACGGGCAGAGAAATGAGTAACAGGTTTAAGGAACAAACCTTACGAAGGCGAACTTCGACACTTGGGATTACCCCTATGAGCTATAGGAGAATAAGAGCTGATCTCATAATGGCGTAGATCATATTAAGTGAGCCAAGTCATCTCAACACGAACACTACGAAAACATCAACGCCATGCTGCTCATCGATGCAACCTCCGAGAAATTGCACACCAAAGAGCAAAATCCAGACACGCTACCACTTTTCTTACTTAGAGTTGCCCCTACTTAAAATGCTCTCCCAGTTGAAGTGACCACAGCCCCCTTAGTTGATAACTTCAAGAGAAGACTTGACAAACATATACTCACCCACGGATTACCACCTCCCTCTTGGA